TCCACGGCTTCTCTCAGTTTAGCAAGCCCTTCATTTTCGGTGGCAGGAGTTTTAAAATACATCACGAAAGAGACTATCACACTGCTTTCACTGTGAAAACTAAAGAACGATGATAAGAAATGAGGAGTTGCGCGTGCATTAAAAGAACCAAACTTCAAGCCAGTGCTTTACAAACCTTAGTTTAGTCACTTCTGTCCTGTCGTAGTGTGCGTCATTTTCGTACAGCTTGTTAATCTTAAGACGATCACTGATGGGCTCACCGAATAAACCTATTTAGCTTGTATTGTTTGTTTTCCCAATAGAGGTCCCACGGGAACTTGACCCATTGTCTTTTCATACATTGTGCGTAGATATGCACGTGAATAAGACGGAATCTGAAAGAGACGGTTTCCTAGGGTCAGTTATAACGTGACATGCATTGAAAAGGCTACTCATTTCAAGGGGAGCGATAAAATAAACACACATAATAAGCTTACCGGAACACAAAAGTCGTCATAATTCTTCCCTAAAAGACAGACTGAAATGCTGACCCCAGACGTTCAGCTTCCTGGGAGAGTTTTTTTCATTTCAGGTGTGTTTTGGGGGATATTGTACCTTAATCATTTAACTTTTCCCTATAAATTGATGCCGAAGGCTTCTTAAGTTAAGGATGTCAGGTAGGCATTCGGCTTACAGCTTGTAAATTAAGTTTGATTGCTTTGATTATAAGTATGCAAGCGGAGGCTTCGCCTTTATTCATGGCTAAATCTATATATTATTTATGCAATTGACATATAATCTCATGGAAAATGCTCCGCACAGAATTTACACCCCCGTTGTCTTCTCCTGTGCTCTCTCTTTTGATTTCAGATAATTCAACGTCGTTCCTAAGGCCACCGATCAAAAGGAAGTTTTCCTTTGCTACGAAAATGCTAAGAGGATGCTCATACTGAGTGCCTGAACATTTGCGCCTGCCCCAAAAAATTGTTTTGCGTTCCTACCTAAGACTTGTAATAAAGTCTAACGTATACTTACACAGGACTGAGATTTCCACCTTGTCAGAGGTTACGAAAACAAAGTGCGGACTACCCGTTATTACCGTGAGCTGATATTTTTCAGCACTGGTTGATTTTGCAACGTCAAGTACTGTTAAAATCATGCTCGAGAATCTAACATACATGCAATGAACCTTTTTTGGAGGGCCAATTTCACAGTCGTGTTTGAGTCGTTACTTTTCCTGAAAGCAACTGTCCAATTACTAGTAACATTAGATATATAAGCAACAAGAACTGATTGGCCTTCTAAGTTATAATTCCACTGTATAGTAAGGTTGTGACCTGCCATACCAACACTTGATGGGCTTGGAGGTTGTGACGTATATCAAGGGTTCATATCTGCGATGAAAAAACATAAAGCCAAGTAACTGTAAAACGCAATTTTATGTAAAGCGCTTTTGGACCATTGGGAATTAGCGCTCTATAAATATTGTATATTATTATTATTATTATTTAACTGTTATTTAACAATTATATATGTACCTGACGACAAAAATCAGCTTTAAATTAAATTAAAGTATAATTTTACTTTTTTTGACTTTAATATGAAAGATAAATTCAAACAGCGACAAGATATATAATTTAATGTGAGAAAAAAACTACTCCTTTGGAAATCAAATCATCGATTTCGTGTTCCCGGCACCAGTAAATTTCAAATTACCACAGCATTTACGTTTGTTCCAATTCGGTTTTCTTGTAAAGAAGTTACTTTAAACGCATTAAAAAAAATGTGTTCAAATATATTTAGATCAATAGCTCACTTCGGGAAAAGAGTGATACTAGCCTGGGACCGACACTAGGCGCGCGCATTTACGGGATTATTTGGGGCCGGGGTGGACGCGAAAGTAAACAGATATGGTGGAAAGTGGTCAATATTTCAGCGGTGTTAAAAAGAAAAGCGCAAAAAAGCAAAACGTAAGGTGGAATTGAAAGAAAAAACAGGAAAATCTGAAATCTGGTAAACCAAAGATGTGGAACTATACCAAAGTAAAACAACTAACCCGCACTTCACCAAACTACACAATTTACAAAGAGCTCTTTAAAAACGTCTTGAATTTATGAGAGATTGCTAGACTTTCCAAAAGTCGAGCTCAAAAGTTTTCACGAGCGCGAAGCCCGGGCGGGAGATTTTTTATGTCTACTACAGCAAAAGCGAACGAGGGCGCGCTGGGGCCTGTAACGTCTATAGGGATAACACTCAGTAAGCACTCCAACAACGACGACACTCAACCCGAAGCTAACATCTTTAATTCCAAAAATCCAACGTGCTTACACAAGACTTTCGTTATATAACATGCTCAGAATACTTCATGTAAGACGATACAAGATGATACAAAATACACTTTATGTAAGCAATACGTGACATGCCCCCTTCACAAAAAAAAAGTAAAATAAAAAGCCTAGTAATAACAACAACAAGAAAGGAAACAAAACAGAACAAAGAAACAAGCCGCTAGGGAAAAAAAAGAGTGCACACGATTAGAGCTCTATTATCAAGAGTCATATCTTAGTGGCTTGCAAACCACTCGGCCGCTCCTGGAGGTTTTCACAGCAGCTGCAGGCGTACAGGTAGCAGAAACAGGAACTGAACCGACGTCATTGGATCTGGAAACAGGTTCATTGCTTGGTTTTGGTTCTGACTGGATGACAGTGGGACCACCCGAAACCTCCACATTGGCAGAAATAGGTACAGGACAACTCGGAAAGTCAGCTCCAGTGAAAGTTTGATCTTGTTGACTTGGAGACTCAGGAGTTGTGGCTCTGAAGTATGGCTCCTTGGTGAGCCTGAGATGCCTTCTGTCCCTTCTGTAGGTACGGCCATCCTCTGTGCGGACCTGGTATGACCTAATGTCGACCTCCTTGTCCACAGTGGCTTTAGCCCATACCTTAGAATCTCCCCTTCTGTAGTAGTAAGTCTGTTTAGCCTTTCTCTCTTTCAGCTTGTGCGGGACACCCTGAACTGTTTCCGGAACAAGTAGTCTTGAAGAAGTTGACAACAGTGTTCTGGTCCTCGAACCAAACAATCGCTGGGAAGGAGAACTTCCGACTCCCTCATCTGGAGAGTTCCGGTAATCCAAGAGTGACAAATCTGGGTCTGAACCCGCATCTCGTGCCTTCTTCATGATACTTTGTGAAATTTTAACAGTATTCTCTACCTTCCCATTGGACTGAGGGTAGCGCGGAGAACTGGTTAGGTGTTCAAACTCATAGGCTGACGCAAATTCCTCAAACTCCTTAGAACTGAAGGGTGGACTGTCACTGAAGACCTGGACGGGTATCCCATGTCAAGCAAACTGAGACTTCAGCTTAGAGATTACCTCCTTGCCTTTCTTGTCACAAATTCTGTCTAGCTTGAAGTAGTCAGAGTAGTAATCCACACAAACCAAATAATGATTGTCCTCAAAGTCAAACAGATCACAGCCTACTTTCTCCCATGGTTTTGTTGGGATTTCATGACTAATCATCGGCTCTTTCTGCTGATTTGGTTGATAGCTCTTGGAAACAGCAGAATTTTAAATAAAATCTTCAATGTCCTTACCCATCTTTTGCCAGTAAACAACCTCTCTACCTCTTCTGAGACAACTCTGTATTCCAAGATGGCTCTGATGCAGTTTCTGCTTGATTTCATCTCTCGTACTTAGAGGAGTCACCAGCCTCTCACCTTTCAAAATCAACCCATCTTGCAATGGAAGTTCATCTCTATAGTGAAAATAGTCCTTCACATGCCACGGGACTTCCTCTAAGGCATCTGGCCACCCTGCTTGAATGATGGCCTTTAGGAGGGCCATTTCACCATCTGCCTCTGTATTCTGCCGGACTCTAGCCAGGCCATGAGCTGTAACAGGCAGAAAGCTGAATGCATTAACACTTTCTACTTCCTTTTCTAGAGGAGTTCTAGAATCTAACGTCAGGCAGACTTCCTCTCTTGGACCCTTAATCTGTGCACAGGGTACGTAAGCTCTACTGAGGGTATAAGCTACATGGAGAAGAGCACCTCTCTTGTACTCCACTTCAAAATCAAAGTTCTGCAAGCGCAGCATCATTCTCTGAAGACGTTTCGGAGCACTCAACAAACTCTTACTGAGTATCGATTCCAGTGGCTTTTGATCAGTCTCTACCTTGAACCTCTTACCATAGACATAACTCTCAAACTTTTCAACTCCAAAAAGAATAGCCAAGAGTTCCTTCTCAATTTGTACATAGTTTGACTCTGCTGATGTCAACGACCGAGAAGCATACGCCATAGGTTGCCCATTCTGCATAAGACATGCACCCAAACCGTGCTGAGAAGCATCACATTGTAACACAACTTCCTCACTAGGGCTAAGGAACTTAAGAACAGGTGCAGAAGCTATCACTGCTTTGACATGCTTGAAGCACTCCCCATGGACACTTTCCTCCCACACAAATTCAACATGCTCCTTTAGCAAGTCCCTGATAGGTTTCGTAAGCTCTGACAAGCCAGGCGCAAATTTCTGCAAATAATTCACCATTCCCATGATTCTGCGAACTCCTTGCTTGTCAGCAGGTGACGGCATGCCCAGTATTGCCTCTACCTTGGCCGGATTAGGTTTCAACCCCTCAGCAGAAATGACATTACCAACATATGACAACTCGTGGAGTTTGAACTTGAGCTTGTCCTTGTTCAACGTGATGTGCTTCTGACGACAGCGCTCCAACAAATTGTGGAACTTAGTGTCATGGTCTCGCAGGGCTGCACCCTTTGTGTCTCCAACACCAAATACAGTGATGTCATCTGCAACAGTCCTGACTCCATCAAGTCCCTCTATTGCCTCGTTAAGCCTACGCTGAAATTCCTCAGGAGCTGGCGAAATACTAAAGGGCATCCTTAACCACCGAAAACGGCCCCAGGGTGTAGCAAAGGTTGTCAGCTTATGCCAGAATCCGTTCTTAACGTCAACCACAGAGAAGACTTGTGCCCTAGACAGTTCCGGTAACAGATCATCAATAGTTGGCAAAGGATAATGGTTTCTCTACCACTACAGTAGATGAAATCCACTCTGTTTGTTCTGAAACTGCTGCTATAATTCTCCTTTGAACCAACCTCTCCAGCTCCTTTTTGTATTTCTCCTTCAGGGCGATAGGTGGTCTGCGAACAGGCATCTGTACTGGTTTTACATTCTGATCCACATGAAGATGTAGTTTGTCTTCCAGCATACCATCTCCCTCGAAGACATCCTTGTACTGCATAACAACTTGAGGCAAGGTAAGACCTTCGTAGCTCTGCGAACCCTCAACAGCCAGAATGGTCTGCGTTTTTACTGTAATTAGTTGCATTCCCTGTATAGCAGATGCTCCAAGCAATCGCTTGTTTTCTTCACCAACAATCTGAAACTCAAGAAAGTACTTTCTATTGTTCTTTGGATTACGCATACTAATCCTCTTTTTCCCGAGTGGGCGTATCTTGTTACCATTGTACATATTCAAAACTGCCAAAAGGGGCTTCCAGCTCATTAAGTTCAGGATCTTCGCAAACTCGTTTGCAATCTTTTATAGGCAGAATATTGACTGTTGCTCTACTGTCCAGCTGAAACCGAACATCATGGCCATTAATCACCATCCTAGCGGACAACTTCTGAGATTCAACACTATCCACTGACTGTGAGTTTACAGTGAGTGTGTTTACAATTTACAGTGAGCAGATATTCTTATGAGGAAGAACCATCACTCATGGCATTGACCTCTTGCTTCTTCTTTTTCTGTTTGAAGGGCTTAGCACGCTGCCTACGCGACTGCTTCAAAGAACACTTCGCAGCAAAATGGTTTTTCTCTCCACATTTGTTACTGTTCTTTCCCTACGCAGGGCATTCCTCTCTTCTTTTCATGTGCCGCTTACCGCAAAATTTAAACAGAATGACAGGGCTACCGGCTTTCTCAGAGAGCTTAGTATCTTCAGAGGCTTTGGATTTCGACTTTCCATCCAAAACAAATTTAAGATCCTCCTGATTACCCATCGCTTGTAATTGCAAAGCAGTTGCCTCGCTCGACCTACAAATGTCAATACATTTGCTCAAGGTAAGTTTCGGCTCCAGAAGAAGACGCTTACGAGTGCCATTGTCCCTTATCCCAACGAAAATCCTGTCACGAATAAGACTATCCAAAAGCGAACCGTAATTACATGTTTTTGCCAAAGTACGAAGGGCTGCTACATACGAATCAGCGGACTCGCCCGACTCCTGGTCCCGCTTGTTAAATTGATAACGCTCGTAAATTTCATTCGTCTCGCCGACGCAAAACGCTTCTAATTTTTCCAGAACAACCTCAATATCCTTACGCTCCTCTTCACTAGCAAAACTGAGCCCATCAACAATCTCTAGGGCATCGGGACCGAAACACGTGAGTAATGTCGCTGTTCTCTCCTCCTTCGACTGCTTAACCAAGCGAGAGGCCACTTCGTAATTTGTCCACACACGACGAAAACGCTTCCAGTTGCTTGCTAGATTTCCTTTGGTTTCCAGTTTCGACGGAAACGGTACATTCTGCAAAACAGGAATTGGAGTTTCGACCGCCGGCGGTCCCTCGCTGCCCGGCATGACTACGCAACTTGCTCGAAGAAACTCGACTATGCCAACATTTACGGGCAAATAAACGAGCAAAATACAGGCACCAAACACTCGCAATACTCCTGACACCATGTAACGTCTAGAGGGATAACGCTCAGCAAGAACTACAACAACGACGACACTCAACTCGAAGCTAACATCTTTAATTCCAACAATCCAAGGTGCTTACACAAGACTTTGGTTATATAAAATGCTCAGAATACTTCATGTAAGACGATACAAGATGATACAAAATATTGCTCCAGTGATGAGATATGAGATGACACTCGTTCACGTACTGATATTTATTTCTCTTCTTAACCTTACTTCCATAAACACCGTGAGAACTAAAATAAAGGTAAGAGTATTTTACAAATAAGGTTGTGAAATTACGGAAATACATACATTTCATCCGTAAAACTAACAAGACGGAAAGGTAAAAACTTAAGATTGACGAATAACGGTAAATAATGTTCTGTGTAAACTTAACTTCGTTTAAAATCTAAAATCTTGATTTTACAATGCACTCAGCGATAAAATCGGTTTAAAGGATAAAATTACAAGGCGCTTACTTAAATAAGAAAATGTGGCGGAAATATTTACCTTGGTGGTGTCCTTAAAATCACTAGAACAAGGAAAACTTCTTGGCTTCTTGAAATGGATTGACAAAGAACTTGCGTCAACTAACCGGAAAAACAGAAAACTTAACCTTTTAACAACAAAATTGCGTGGCGCTTTCGCGTGCGTCCTAGCTTGCGTTGGAAAGAACTTTCTCGTTAAATCTACAAATTGCGTTAGCGCGCGCGTGCAGAAAACAAAGATTTCGGATGAAAAATAAGTTAATTAAACGTGCAGCTGATTGCTGTAGCTACGCAAAATACACTTCATGTAAGCAATACCCCCCTTCAAGAAAAAAAATACCAATTACTTCTGAAAACTTTATTGCCCCCGCCTCCCCACCCCCCATCCAACCCCTTCTAGACCAAGTCTCTTCGTCCATCCTTGGGCGTTTTCTGCCGGACATTTTCAGTAAACAAAGAAGAAGGAAAATGCAGTAATTAGTTGTTTATTCTACCCATCAACATCTCTAGTGTTATCGGCAAGGTACAGACTATTAACGGCATCAAGGACGTTACAAGCAAAGGGCGAGATGTGTACCTATCAGGCGGGCAAACTGTTATAATGCCATCAATATCATGGTCCTTCGTAAAGGAGTTTGCGGTCTCTTCATTCTTCATACGGCTAAAGCTACGCTCAGCTATGCATATTGACACACAAAATTGACCCCCCAAAATCAGCCTCTTACAAAATTGTACCTTCCCGGACGTAATAAACGATCGGCCCCTAGGGGGATAGCGTACCTCAAATTGCATTTCGCTTTAAATTATAAACCAGAAACCAGAAACCATAAGTTGCTTGGAGGTTAATTAGTCTCATTTTACTATCACTCTTCACTACGTAGACTCAATAGAAATTTACAAGGCTTTTTATCGTCTCTGACATTCATTAGAAGCTCTTTTGCCCTGGGGCATGATACAATATGTTATACTGGATGGCAGTGTGAGTAACACAGACTATTTTTCAAAATGCTCTGCGGCGAATGCCGTAATTACCAACTGGACACCCTACACAATGTCTATTGTACAAATGAAATAACGTCTCAGTTAACCGTGACCAGATGGCTTCATTATGACAATGACACAAAAATCCCACACCCCACAGAATATACGGTTGCTTATATGTACGGCGGAGTTAAAAATTTCTTACCTGAGTTATGAAAAAAATACTAGCGAAATAACAAGGACCTCCGTCGCAAAGATAGCACATTCTTTCATATTCAGGGAGAAACTATCCACAACACAGAGATGCATTTGAGAATGTTTCGCTTTAAGATCTTCCGTGATGGAAATGCGCTGAACCGTTTACAATGTAGTCTTCCTCACAGCTGTTCTTTGTGTCGTCACCGTCACGCAACGCTGGGGTGGAGCGTTGCGTGACGACACAAAGAAAAGCCGTGAAGCAGACTACTAACAACGCTGTATACATATAACTATCGTTATCCATCGCGCGCGGTTTTTCCTTCTCCCATATCTTTCTGGCCCTCACAACTATTTTGTACCAACGCAACTCCGACACCCTACCCTTCCTCTCACCATCAGTTGCTCGAAATTAGTGCTGTAGTTCCAACGTTACAACTAAAAAAGGCTACTTTATTACATCTATTGTGGAAAGTTCGTTATTTTTTATTATTTTCATTTCAAATGAGCTATCGCGTTTATCTCTGATCTGTTGGCGATTATTTATTTGCTAGAAGCATCTGACAGTTACACAAATTATTAACAACTAAATGATTTCTGAAGCTAGTGGCCCAGGTCGCCTTATTTTAAGAGGCATCGGCTGGCTAAAGATATATTTGTTTCTGTCTATGTAGTAGTATATAATATGGGTTTAATCAGTGGTGAATAGTCCTCAAGGAATACATTAACGCCTAACGCCAGTGGTTCATTGTTCGGTGCAAAGACAATACATGTATATTTAAAATTTCCGTTATTATGAGGTACGAGAGCATAAATGAATATTTATTTGTTGCTTTGCCATAAATAGTTTAACTTTTAATTACGAGTTACATGCTTTTAATATCTTTGTCTATTGTATTTAGAAAACGCTATCATTTCAAGGGTTTACGATGCAATTTTGCTTACTTATTTACTAAAGCATGCAAGCCAAAGAAAATTTGAAATCCCAGTGCTCAATAGTCCTATATCTAAAATGATAGTGACAAGTGCTATTTCGAGGTCATGAAACAGACCAGGAGCCTAAAGTTTTTTTTAAATTGACATTCATTATATAGTAGCTTATTTATAAAATCCTCAGGAAACTTTGCACTTACTGTTATACACAAAAGTGTTCTCTTATGGGGGCTACATCACGATGACATGACTGTTTTAGCGGGGCTCCCACTCGCCCTTCGCGTGCGTGGGACAGAGCTCCATACTCATAGAATACGGTCAACCTCTTTTCGTTTGGTTGTCACGTGATTGACCGAGTGTACGCGTCTACAGATTGTGCGGATGGGGTAGGGGCGACTATCAAAAGGAAAGGAGGGGTGTTTCAGGCGTGTCTTGGCAAATCCACATCTTTTATATTGGACGTTCACAATATGATCAATTGACAGCTGTCAAAACAGGATAGCCATTGACCAGTATCACATGACCCTATTGCGTGCTCATGTGTCAACTCATCGAGGTGACGTAATTTATTTGGAAGCTGTCCGCTGACCAGTTAATTGCTTTACTAGATCGCGACAATGTCCAATCTCATACTTTCTAGCTAGTTTGGGAGCACAGGAAAACTCTGATAATACACACATATTGGACATCAATGTCGTCATCAATTGACAGCTGTCAAAACAGGGTATCCGCTGACCAGTATCATTTGACCGTATCGCGGGCTCAGGTGTCGACCCATCGAGATCAAGTATTTTTTGAAGTTAATTCACAAGAAATTTGTACTGTTTATGTGCCGTACAATTAAAATTTTGATTTTAAACTGACCTCGGACGCGAAAATTTAGCCAGCTATTACAGGCAGGGAAGACAGTTCCTTTTGACTTTGCTCACCATGGTCACCCGTTGGTCACACTCTACATCCAATTTTTATGCTCTGACTGGTCAGAATTTGGCAGGTGAGTTCATGCGCAAAATTTATGCAGTATCTTGAATCTTGTTTACTTTGACATCTGTTTGGCAGGTGAGTTCATGCGCAAAATTTATGCAGTATCTTGAATCTTGTTTACTTTGACAGCTGAAGCTGACAGAGTTTTGTGTCAACTTGTGATGTTTTTAACTGTCTTTTTCCACTGGATGTTCAATTGCAAAATGAAATTCAGCTGCTATCAGGAGTCTTCTCTTAT